ATTCTGTATAGACATACAGAATGAGATTTCTTACAAGGGATTGGCTAAAATAATTATGGAGGCTTAGAAGTCCCTTGATCTGCTAACTGCAAGCTGCAGTCCTAGGAAAGCCAATGGTGTAACATAACCGAACTGAAAGGCCCAAGAACCAGGGACATCAATGGCACAAGTCCAAGTCTGAGTCCAAATGTTCAAGAAACCAGATAATAATGTCCAACAGCAGGATACAGATGGACAGCTCAAGAGAAAGAGTGAATGTGTCCTTCTTTCTCTTTGTTTTCTTCAGGCCCTCAGTGGATTAGATAATACCCATCATGTTGGTGGTGTTGATTTCTTTACTTGACCTACAGATTCAAATACATATCTTTTCCAGAAAGAACGCTACAAACACACTTAGAAACAATGTGCTGAGTATGCCTTAGCCCAGTCAAATTCACACATAAAATTGTATGAGTTATACAAATTATTTTGTGAAGTAGAAGAGAATCAGTTCATTCTTTCTGGGAGATTATGATTTGGGGAGAAATAATCAAGGTCTTTTGTGGATAAAATACAATTTGTTGGAGAAGTCTTCACATGTTAGTGAGGACTTGAAGCCTAAAGAGTTGTTCACCATAAATATGATGAAGAAAAGGTCTGTTTTTTGGATGAAAACTCACAAGTCTATAAGATTTTTTAAAAATATGTTTAGTATGAAGGATAAGAAAAGATTGAAGAAAGTACAAATGTTGGTGTTCATCAGAAAGCAAAAAACCTGAAGGACTCCGTGTATTAATAAGAAATGCTTTCAACTGTAAAGCACAAATTAACAATGTTTTATATAATAATGACCTTTGTTAGCTCCCTTTGCTTCAAGTTGAACACAGCCAGCTGTTCAGGGATGTCACCAAAGACTTGGAAAATTTCCCATCCTTCTAGGTCTCCTGCTCTGCCACACTTAAGGTTTATTATATGATCAAGAGTGGATGATTACTGTTTTGGGTATCGTGATACAGCAGACTCTCTCACTTTTATTGGTGAAAACTGAGAAACACAGCTCCTATCCAAAGCACTGACTGTGTGAAGAGAAATGGGATTTTCATGGATTTAAGAAGAGCTTTTCTTTCCCCCACTCAAAGAGATTCAGCCTTATATCTCAAAATGAAAGCAATCTATTTGTATGGACAAGGTGGCGAAGACATTGTGTAAGCATGGATAGGTTCATGGACACCTGGCAGTCATTTTCTTTAAAGGCAAGAATAACGTAATTTGGTGTACACCATGGAAGATCCAGTCACGACTTCAAGGCTTTAAACTTGGGTGACAGGGACACCATTCACCAAGATAGATATCCCATGAGATGTGAACAAGGATTAGGAGAAAAAGTCAAGGCTTAAATTTTGACTCTGTTAAATTGAAAGTGGTCTGAGATATATAATAGGCAAGACCATATGTGTCTGGAATTACAAGTCTGAAGCTACTGAGCTTTAGTGGGACTCAAGACTGGGATGAGAGAGCTCTGGAGGGATTAGAGCTACAGACTGGATGAACCTAAAAAGAATAAAAACAATGAGAATGCAATCGAGAGGGGACACTGAGAATTTAAATATTTCAAGATGTGGACAAGGAAGGAAAATCTGGAGATGAACAGGAATGATACATTTAGGTTCACAACTAAAATCTTGCTGCACACTTAGTAAGTTGCATAAAAACTGGTAAATGTACACCTTACACTGTCTTTAACACTGTGGCATGAATCTCCTACGAAATTTAGTGTCTAAATAGAATTTACGTCAAACTTTCAGTTTCTTTTGCCTCAAACCCATGAAGCATGTACTTTGGTTTGCAACATCTAAAATCTCTTCTCCGGAACCTTTACTTCTGCTTATAGAGCAGTAAATTGTCCACTGACCTGAAGAAACGACATAAATATTTCTAGTCCCTCACAGTCTCCATGTTAGATTCTGAGAGAGTTAAATGGAGATGAAAGATGGGAAAATGTTTTTTTTAAACTTTGACTATGAAGAGCTATAGATGTAGCTCAGTTATAAAGCACTCACCTGTCATGTGCAAGGCCCTGGGTTTGATTCCCCAGCATTGATGAAGAAAGAAAAGAAAAGAATAGAAAAGAAAAGAAAGTTGGCTATAAAGTTTTTGTGTCCATATTAAAAGAAATGCCAAATTTAGAAGCCCAGGTAAAGTCATAAATTCAATGTTAACTCAACATGTGAAAATGAAACTCAAATGAGCACTGCTCAAACTTGGATGCTTATAGTTCTACCATTTTTGAGGTTAAAAATGGAGAAAAGGAAAATTGTTATATTGCTAGGTTTGATTTTTATGAAAAGAAGGAACTTAAAATATGCCATTTGCATATTAGAAGCACTATTTTCTACTAGAGGAAACATAAAATAGAGAATCTGATGTTCCCTTGACTTCAGTGTTTAAAACAAACCCTGCAATAACCTGAAACATATTCATCCACAAGCAGAGCAGGCAGGTAGCTACAGGAAGGGGTTTGAGCTGCTTTGGAACAGAGGAGAATGAATTGGTACTGACTGCTTCACATTCTTCCCGCTCCTTTATGGTTATGCCCTCACCAGTCCTCCACCAGAAACTCCAGAACGAAACTCTATAATCCCATTCCCTAAGCTACACCAGTACTCACTGTCATACCTAACATTATATGGAGAGAAAGGAAGTTTGTAACTGTAAATTCCCACCTTAGGTTGTGCATTTACTCTCTCTCCCTCTCTCTCTCTCTTCTATCAGTCACAGACAATTACTTTACCAAAAGTAGTTTAGCTACTTGAAATGGTTGTTCTTAACAGCTCTTTTGAGGAATGGAGGAATTGCTGAAGGAAAGCAAACATGTCAGGAGATCTCAATTCTAATTAACACTGCCACTCATTGCTGCAGTACTTTATTAAAGTTACTGTTGTTTAGTAATTCAGAGATTCTCCAGGGTGTGATTCTTGCAGGCAGTGGAGAACTGGGACCCAAACGCTCATGAAAATAATGGGGGAAAGTGAGGAAATTATACAAGTAAATATGGTATTAACAAAAATTCAGATTTCAATCACTGAATCAATTAACAGTTAGTTCCCAAGCTGCTTGTATCTGAGTCTGCTTTGGTTTCTGGGACACACACACACACACACACACACACACACACACACAACATATGGTACACAGAATATTGTCTCTACCACTCTGTGATCTTCTCTGCTTCTTTATAGCACAGTACTATTGAACATACATTAATTGGAATTAAATGAATTCTTTCCATTATTATCTTATATTTAGTAGACATTTAAAATCATTCTAAAAACCAATAATAATAATAATAATAATAATAATAATAATAATAATACAAACTTGAAAATGATGGAGGGTGTAATATGAGACATTGAGTCTTAAACCAAGAGGACACAGACTCCTCTGTGATAATCGGTGTATGCTAAAGACTAGAAGGATCCTAGTGTGTA